TTGGTGAAGGTGTGTCTGTATAGCTGCTGGATGCACTTTATGGGGGTGGAAAGCAAGGCATGCTGAAAATGCTCCTCTGGAGGAAGGTGGCTCCCTATGTGAGGTGTGGTAGGTGAGTCGGATCCAAACTGGCTTCTGTCACAGCTGCAGATTCTCAGCTCCACCATTGTCTCCCAGGTGGCCCTTTAGAACACCCAGGGTAGGGCACGTTGATGGAAGAGCACATCTGAACTGCAAGTTGTGAACAGTGAGTGATGGCACCATGGAACTGAGCAAATCCTGACGTTACATGCCCAGAAGTAGTACCAAAACACTTATCCAAGGAGCGAGTACATGGAGCTGAGAATAATAAGCCGTACTCAAATTCCAGGGTTACCTGTCCTGCATCTGAGCAAGGCTGACACCCACCTGCGTTAGCTGTAGGGGCTCCATGAGAGCCTCGTGCCCAGGTCAGACCAGGACACGTTCTTGCTCTCTGTGGGTCTACCCCTGCAGCTCGTGGAGCCGCTCTCTGGTAGGATGTGGGGCAGGAGAGCCCTTGGTGCCTGGGGTTAACATCTGTCCAGAGAGTGGGGGCAGTGGAATAATCAGAGACCTCATAGTAGCCTTTCAGTATCTGAAGGGGCTACAAGGGAGCCAGAGAAGACTCTTAGGAGATGCAGTGATAGGACAAGGAGTAACGGATTCAAATTGACGGAGGAGAAATTTACACTAGATCCGACACTGGAACAGGTTGCCCAAAGAAGCAGTGGATGCCCCAACCCTGGCAGGGTTCAAAGCCAGGCTGGATGAGACCTTGAGCCACCTGGTCTGGTGAGAAGTGTCCCTGCTCAGGACAGGGGTGGTTGGGGCTAGATGATCTGCAAGGTCCATTCCAACCCCTAAAATTCTATTATTAGGAAAGAAAGTTTCACTAAGGAGGAAGAAAGGGAAGAATACAGCAAGGGCAGTGGGAAGATCTCTCCCACAAAATGCAATACTACAGGCTAGCACATGTCTGGTGTTCCCTGGAATATGAAACAACCTGTTTTGTGTTGGTTTTATCAAGTTAGTCTTGATGCCAGCCACAGGTGCATTTTCAGCAGAAGGGTAGTAGCTCAAGATGGTGCTCAAAGGAAGAGTTAGCAGGTATTTAAAACAGAGGAGGGAGGAAAAAAAGGGATTAAACAGCTCCAGTAGTTGGCACTGCAGCTCCTTGACACTGGCATTCTTCACTGGGGCCTGAGAAACCACCTATTTACTGCAGGGAAGTGGAGGAGACTGTGGCTCTGTACCCCCTCCTGCAGTGCAGACCTGGGACAGATGCTCTGGTCAGCGGGAAATCACTGACACTGTGAGCCTGTTCTCAGCCCATCCTGATGCTGAGGGCAGCCAAGGTGCTGGTTCCTGGGTTCAGCTTCTTGTGGTGGTTCTGTTGCCAAGAGGCAACTTCCTGAGGAAGCTCCAGGCTGCCACACCTGTGTTGCTCCTCTTCATGTTGAAGGTAAATAGATTTATCTTCTTTGCATTGCAATTCATAGCAAATAACCCTGGGCACAGTATATGCCAAGCACAAGTAAATGCTAACAAATACCTCTCTCAGAGCTTAAGACAGTCTGTCCCTCCTAAGGTGTGCTAGAGGTTTCTGTGAGCTGGGGAGAGCAAGGGTGGTGGGATTTTGACCAACATCGGGACACTTCAGAGGTGTCATCTAGCTGTTTTTCCTGTCTGGTAAGTCTAGACTCCACTGCATTATCAGGGGGAAGCAGTAATTCACTGCAACAGGAAGGCAGCAAAGAGCATTGCCAGGGATGTTTCAGCAGAGGCTCACGTGCTGCAGACACTTTGACCCCAATGGTTTTTAAATCTCTTCTGTGTTCTTTTCTTTGAAGCAAGTCAGGAAATAATAGCACTGCTGAGGATAGGAGATCTGCCTTGGAGCCCAGCAAACCTCCCCCAGCCTCTCCACATCACTGCTGGCAGGCAAAGCTGCTCATAGAGTTTCTCTTAATTGTGTCTATAGGGATCCGGCTGGGGAGGAAAACAGTAATTTTATGGATTTGAGAATGAAAAGAGACAGTTTTCTCCATGGCATTTGTGGGAAAGCTTTTCTGAGCAATAGCTTGAACTGTTTATTACTATTTATTAGGAAGTCTGTGCTATTTTTATTAGATGGAAGCAGCTTCTAAGGAGCTGCTTTGGAAAATGACCCCTTGTATTATTTTCCCCATTTGACTGAATCTGCTTTTCAAATTGGATATTAAGAGATAGCACAAAGGAAATTTAGTACAAAATAAACTTGGGTTAAACTCAGTCTTCTGCAGAACCTTAACCAACACAAACACCTCTGGGTTTGAATGATTTCTGCTGTGTCTGTGGCAGCTCTCTTTGCCCTTGCCTCCCTGCCAGAGTTGCAGGGGGGATCAGGGATCTCTGCAGAACTGGGCTAACACTTGATAACTGAGACATCAACAGCAGCTTTAAAGAAAAAAATTCAATAATTTGGATAACCTAGTCCATTAATTTTGGTGGATATGCTTTTTTTTTCTGAGTGAGAAGCAAAGTTAGAGCTGACTGTATACATGAGGAATATTTGTAAAAGTGTCTGTATTTCCAAACCAAGTGCCCTTGTGTAGGTTAAGTAGGTATGACTGCCCATGTGAGACAGGGGTGGGTGACTGGAAGTAGTGTTTGGAGCAAACACAACGTGCAGCAGCAGAAAGGATGCTGGGATTTGGAGAAGATCCATTTTATGCTCAGTGGGAAGGAACCCAAGCAGGGCAGGGGGTGGCATTGGTGAGTATGTCGTAACACCACAGCAGGACTCTGGTTCTGCTCTTTCTGATATCCCTGCCTGATTTGTATCAGCACAGAATACAGGTTCAAACCCATGACCAAAAGATAGGGGGAAAAGCTGTCTATAGAGGGTTTTGGTTATCTGTCAAGGGGAGGCAAGTTCTAAAAATCATTTTGTCATGTTTAAGTGCAGCATTTGCCAGCTAAATTTTACTTTTGAATGGAACGTTGAAGTGCAGGTTTCCTGGTGAAGCATGACTAAGCTGCAGGTACAAATGCCAAGGAAATGGCTCCTTCAAGGAAATTCTCACTAATTCCACTGTTTACTTTGTGCCTTATTCAGAGGAGGATGTAAGAGCAGTCCTGTGCCCCTTCCCTGACAGCTGCAAAAGGGTGACAGAGGACTAACAGGTCAAAAAATACTTGGTTGGCCCTACCTGTCTTATCAATAGCACTTCGGTTACCAGAACTGATGATCACAGGTGTTTTGACACCAGTGTGTTTCATGGAGTTTGTGCTGGTGTGACCAGACTCATTAGAATCCAGCCCATGGCATGGATGTGGCCAGAGTAGTTTCAGAAGGAGTTGTCTTCCCATGGCCTTCAATCTATTCGACCTAAAGTGTTACAAAACACACTGGGCATTAAATCCATTCCCGGCGTGTTTTGTATGTCTCTGCTGCAGACCTCAGTGATTAAAAAGATGTCTAGACACATCTATATGCCCCACTCATCACCTGGACTGGACACCGTCCAGTCACTGGATCACTATCCACTCATCTGTGGCTGCTCTTCCATGAGTCAGCTACTGCAGATTGGGCCATTTTGGTGTCTGAGCAGCATTTCAGAGCATGATCTGAATAGAAATGGGGTTTGCTCAGGGTCTGTGAAACCCACAGGCTCAAGTTCTCCTGAGGGAGTTATCTGTGTAACTTTCTGCATCAAGATGCAAATTCACCCATGCAGCCAGGCCAGATCATCTTGAGGTCATCCCTGCAGGCCCTCAGAAAGGCAGTTGGAATGAAACCACAACTCCCCTCCTAAACAAGGTGTTTCCACAAGGGCTGTTGCTCTGTGATGGGGAACAGAAACTCCTCAGTTGCAGTCTGACAGGCACTTCTCAAATGGGGCTGCTATTTTAGGAGATAGGGATGGTTTCATGCTGATGAAAAAGAGGAAGGGGCCACTGTTTTTCTGAGGATGTTTTGAAGCAGCCCTGGCCTTTGAGCATGTAAAAAGCAAGTTGAAATCATTTGGGCAGAGCTCCATTTGGTGAACAAAACACAAACAGGCGAGTAGAGGCTTTGCCCTTTTAATGCAGTGACTGGCACATACATGTGGCATTGTGCTGCTGTAGGGATGTTAATCAGAGTTTCATTTTTGAAATGACCTCAGTAGCAATAAAAATGATCTCGCAGCCTTCACATACCTTTTCCGTGGTTTTGAGCAATGAATCATCTTTCCAGAGTTGCTCCTGAACCCCACAGGAGCCACCGAATGCTGCCCCATTGGTGGTGTTCCTGCCTCTGCTCTGGACCCCCATCCCCAACAGGGCTGAGCATCTCAGCCTCCCTGGGATGGGGGTCCCCAGGGAAGGGCTGCCAGGGGAAATTGTCCTGCACTTTGAAAGACTTGTGCTTTGAAAGCCTGGGACAGGCAGCCCAGACATCCACCACAGTCACCAGCATGGGACCCACCCGTGGTGGGTCAGCATCCTCCTCTGGGCACATGGGGTGTCGGAGAAGCAGCTCCCCACAGCAGAGCTGACATGTGAGCCCCTCCCATGGGGCTCTTGCAAGGAGTCCCCATCAGGAGGGGCACGGGGAAAAACCCCCTCTGCAGACAGGCAGGTTTTTGGAAGGGCTGTCCCCGGGCAGTGCTCACAATGGCTGTGGTGCTCCACACACGCTCACACCAGCACAGCCCCAAAAGACCACACGAGACCCGGGTGGCTGTGGTGACCCTGTACAGCTTAATCCCCACTTGGCCAGGATTTCAAGCATCCACTCTCACCAAGTTCCCAGGTCCCTGCAGGCTTTTCCAGCCGCTATCCAGCATGGGTTTACAGGTGAATGGGGCCAGGGGAGCTTCAGTGGTCTTGGAAGAAGGTAAATGCCTGTCTAACAAATCCTCGGAGGGATGACAGGCCCCAAGAGCGCTGGGCTTTCCCCTCAGCCCCAGAGTCTGCAGAGTCCTGCCCTGCCCCAGCCTCTCTGCATGACTTACAGTTGTTGTTGGTGTTGTGACAGTGCAGCTGCACCAAGTCCTCCTCCAAGGCTCCTGCCAGCTCCTTCAGGTCCCTGGAGGCATCTGCCCTCAGGTACTGCCAAGCCTTGCGCCCATTGTGGTCCCTGCAGGTGGTGTCTGCCCCGTAAGCTCCCACCAGCACTTTGACGAGCACGTCATGTCCCTGCAAGGCAGCCAGCCCGCCGCTGGCTGTGGGGATGTTCACGTTGACAGGGTAACCTTTCTTCTGGGCGTGGGAAATGACCTGGATGAAACTCTCGTGGAGGCCGTGCTTGGCGAGCCAGTGGAGAGCGGTGAAGCCCGTCACAAAGTCTCTCCTGGTCAGCAGGCTGGGATCCATGTCCAACAGACTGATGATGCTGTCCGAGTCGACTTGGGCCGCAGTCCACAACCAGGCGTGC